AATATCACATTAATTAAGTTATCCTTTTGTAAAATAAAAAAATTTACAATTAAATTTCACATTAAAAATGTCAAAGAAACAAAACATACAAACAGCAACAATTTGGGCAGACTTTCCTATTGAATAGGATCTAAGCTCTTTATTTATTTCTGTTATAGAAGGAACCCCCATCCCTCCTGTTCACAGCTTTATCAAACAACAGACAAAGCTTTTTCATTTTTTCTGAAAGGAATATCTGATTCTGCACACAAACTCCCTCCTGAGTGTTCAGGAGTTTGCAGCTTGTCTCTGTCAGCTGTTACTCAGACAGGAAGTRGTCTTCATGTTTTCTTACATGTCCAGCTCATTGTGTGCTGACAGAACTTACAGAAATGTTCTGCTCTAGATAAAGAACTGCTGGGATGTTGTTCTGTCCTAAACATCACCCTAAGACCGCTTCATATTTTTGGAGGACATTTCTGTTTTAGTGAGTCTGTTTCGCTGAGCATCACGGCTCTTTTCTTTTTTCTCTCTCTGTGTTGGGAGGGCAGCTCAGAGCTCACCCTGCGTGCCTTTTAGCAGGTAACAGCAGGTACAGGGAGCAGCAGCGGCCAAAATACCTCAGAAACTCGCTCAAATAAGCGACCTCTGTGAGATTCAGGGTTTAATACTGGATTAGATTTTGTTTGGTCAATTTTGCAATTCTGTCCGTGTTTCCTTAGTAAATTTTAAACKGAGGTGGAGCAGGAGAAGGTGGATTCTGATTGGCTGTCATCGCTCACAACTGCACCATGTTTGATTAAATAAAGAGGCTGCCAGCTGATCACCTGAAAACTGTCTCAAATCAATAATCACGATCAAATAATCGACCAGCCCTAGTCTGCAGCTGAGCTTCCACCCCACAGAGCACCCCTCCCCTGAGGTGCTGTTGTGAAGACGTGCTCAAGTGGGAGTGTCTGAAACAGTAGGGCGTTCTTGAGACAGAGGCCAATGCCAAGGCCAAAGCCATTTTTTTTTATATACAGCCTTTTCAGAACATAGTTACTTGATTGTGGTATAGAATCAAACAATGTGCCTAAAAATGACATAATATCACCTTTTTAAAGGTTTTCACTGGATTATTTTTCAGAGACACGATGGGCAACTGTTTCTTCCTGCGGACAGAGATCACCCTAAAGGGAGCCACTTATCAGATCACCTTCACCGACACTGACCAGCTTCCTCCACCACTCCGCATTGATAACATCTCTGAGGTGAATCTCAAAGTTTGACCAACAAAAGATGGAAAGAAATATAAGGAACAATTATATTAGTAAAAACTGGACAGCGTTCTGTGTCCGGGAAACACAGAACAGAAAGATGAAGCTTTGCAGTCATCAATCTCTGCAGAAATACTTAGAGTAGAAAAGGCCACACGATGACATTTGATCTTTGAACAAATGCTAAATGGGAATCATCAACGGCCTAGAATAAATCAGAATAATGTGATTTTTTTTTTTCAGGTACCCATCCAGTTCAGGCAGCATGGTGTGGCTGATATCCGGCTGTACACTGAGGTTAAGTCCATGTCAGCGCTAGACTACGCCTGTGATGAGCCTACACTGCCTCCATATCTGACACTCATTGTGAAGGGAGCAGGGTCCTCCGAGGTCACAGCTGACATGAATTTCTTCAGGGAATACAACAAGCTGTATTACGAGAATTTCATCTACATCGCAGCGACACACACCTTTTTACAGTAGGAACTGCCTGACTCAGAAGAACAAACCATCATATGGCTGTGCTTGTTTCTTAGAGATGTTAATCACGTATTGAATGACTTTATTCTGTATGTGCAGAAAGAATGAGAATAGACCTGTTGGGCGACAACACCTGGTCAACTGTGCTGAGCTAGTTCTTGATGTGGACACCAAAACTCAAAGAGTCATCCTGAGAAAAAAGGTAACAAAGACTAATTTAAAGTGTTTCTGCAGGCAAATGTTTCCCAAATCATTACCAATGTGCTGAAAGTTAGAAAAATATAAACTAGTGTTGTTACAGTTCAGGAGAAGGTTTTGTTATTGAGCTGCAGAAAACTAACTTCAACTGTGTTCAAGGTTTGTTAGAATTATTCTTTATTAGAAAACGAAGTAAAAAACCTTCACACAGCTGATGAGAGGTTTGTTCCTGATTACTGTGTAGCAGCCCACATACTGCTGTATTCACAGGAGCCAGGCAAGCGCTCCCAGCTGTGGAGGATGACTGGGACCGGCCTACTTTGTCACGAAGGTTCATCTCCGCCCCAGAGTAAGCCATCACAGCCACGACCTTTGGACTCATCCTTGGTTCTAGACATCGCTGGGCTGGCTGCTGTTAGTGACAACAGGTTTGTTCTGCTCTGCTGTGTCATGGATTTTAAACTTATCACAACAGATGTTTTAACCAACTTTTAAAAACTGTTACGGCCAGAGGTCTTTCTTCTATGTTTATACTAAAGCATGAAATGACATTCCTCAAAACATAAAGTCCATTTCAAAACTACAGCCCTTTAAGAAGAATCTTGTCTGCCATCTGCTGGACACTTTTTGTTG